TATATATATATATATATATATATTAAGGTGAATTCTGAATATCAGTGACAAGTAATATAGTTTTCTTGACATATGTTTTCACTACACAATAAAAGTTATATCTAAAAATACAGTTTTTCTTCTTAAGTGTATACTTGTTGCCTCTGCATCTGTGTTTTTGTACGTTCACGTAATGAATATATTTTCTAATGCAAGTATATTTTCTAATTATGAGCTGTTACTGTTTGTTAAAGTGAGAATTAATCTTAAATGTCTGATTGCATTTACATAGTTGTCGAACCAGTACCAAGCTTCAGAGGAAACTCGGGTCAAATTGGAGAAAAACTTGGAGCAGATCATGAAAGAGAAACAAGAGCATCAAGCTACAGTTTCTGACCGGGATGCTCAAGTGGCTCAGCTAAAGGCAGAAGTGGACAGACTTCAAACAGAGTTTGCTAAGCACAGAGAGGAGTTGCAGCAGAAGCTAGCTGTAACGGAACTAGAATCTCAAGCTATGCAGGATCTGCATAATCAGTTGTAAGTTATTTTCTGTAACATTAGATTTTGTAATCACGTGGAAACTTCTCCAACAGTTGTTTATAGTTATTTCGTTCCCCAGTGCCACAGAAACAGGAGAGAAAGAGATATTGCCCCAGCCTCAATCAGCCAGGACCTACATATATATATATATATATAGTGGAGACTGTCAAACAAAACAAAAAATAAAAATGTATATGGGGGGCCCTGTTTACTTTCTTAACCACCAAGCCCTGAAATGTCACAAAAAACCATCTTTGCCATATTCTGATGTATTTTGTTTATACAATTTAATCTATTACATGTGTAAGTTTCGCTTAACAAACAAATGTACCAAAACCAGATGTTCTAGAAAATTCAGATCATCTGTGTGTCAAAACTTATGTACAGTGCACCATGAATGAGTAAAACTTAGCTTACTGGATTGTTTCATGGTGGGAAATGAATATTGATTAAAATAGTTAAATCTTTGGCAGTTTCTCTAATGTTTGTAATCTGTTTAATTATTGTTTCTTGTAATTATGGTCGTTTTTGGATGTGTCGTCAGAAATTAACTGAATAGTACTTCCTGAGCATGATTAACACCCGTTGGGAATGATCGAGCTTTTTTTGTGTGTTTGATTAATGCTTATAATTGTACTTAAAATTTCCTGAAGAGCATTATCTAGGCTTAATAATTATTATCGTAGTTGACGCACTTGTAAAGTTAACTGTATGTCTATTTTATTGAGGTTAACAATGCATTTATAGTTCTGCAACACCTACAGAGCAGTGACACACTTGTAAAATTAACTGTATGTCTATTTTATTGAGGTTAACAATACATGTATAGTTCTACAGCACCTATGGAGTGGTGACATACTTGTAAAGTTAACTGTATGTCTGTATTTCATTGATGTTAATAGCACCTACAAGATAAGTAAAGCTTTGTACTCACATCTGAATGTTGACCTTGAGGGCACAACCAACTTGTTTTAGAACATTAATAAGTAAAGCTAGGAAGTAGCTACATTATGTTACAAACTGCCTTTACTGCCACAAAAGTGCTGTATTACAATAATTTAATCTTTCAACTTTATCTGATATCGTGATACCGCCAAGGTTTGTATTAGTATTAAAATTTGATAACCATGTGCATTCTGTACAGCTGTTTGATAACCATGCACTGATTATTCATTCTTCAACTTTGTTTTGTGCAGCAATCTGCAGCAAGATGCCCTCAGCGAACTACAGAAAGAACTGCTTCGTGTTGAAGTTGAGCGAGATGAACTCTATCGAGAGGTTCTTACTCTACGAGAGATACAAGAAGAAAGGAACCAGGTATGTTTGGGGAAAGAGGAAATTTTAAAGCAACAGTTAAAATAATAGCAAATGACATACCATTGCCAGCTCAATACTTCATTTGAAAATACTAAGAAGATGACAAAAGTTTCATTCAATAGTGAAAGGCTCTCAGCTCATCATTAGATATGTTCTTAATGGTCCTTGTTTCTGGTGTAATACTCGTGTTCTTTTTAAAGACTGGTAGTTTCTTTAAACAACTACAGTTTAAAAGCAACGGAAGATTAAGTTGATTTCACAGGGATTTAATGAAGAGAAAGATGAAATGTGAAATCAAAAATCAAGTGTGTAAGAAAGAACTAGAAAGGTAAATTACTTGTTAAAGAAACAAGTGGAGGTTCAGATGAAGGTGTACAGTAGGTGAAAATAACGTTTTGGAGGTTTTCCCAAACAGTTGGTTAACTTTTCTTATAACTATTAACACACTTAAGTCTCTTATGTACTGTACACACCTCTTTGGCACGAACTAAACCTGACACCAAAAGTTCTAGGTTATGATTGGCTAACTCATATTGAACATCCTATATATTTCATTACATTCATTAAACATAACCCAGAAGAAGAATGAACTATTTGAAAGCACTCGGGTTTTTGGGTCTCGTTTGAAAACCATAACAACTTTTGTATGTGCTAGCTTCTTAATCAGAATTTAGTTATTTTTTTATTAGACCCATAAGTGTTAGAAGGGCTAGACAGAAGATATAAAGTATATGGTGTGTAAGATTAGTAAGAATACAAATAGCAAAATGTTGTAGTTATTGAACAGAGCTTGCCGATTTCAGATTTTATTTGTGTTTTTTGAAAAATGAAGAAGACAGCTGTTTATTAGTATTACTCTGAGTTCATAGTCATCAGTCAGGAAGTGATAATTATGCTTGATAATCTTGGCAGCTGGAGGTATTATTTATAAATGTGAGATATAAGAAAGCTGTTGTTCTTGTTTAGCTTATCTTTTACTGTAAGTTTTACAGCTGTTAACAAATGGATGTAATGATGGGGAGAGTTGATAAGAAAGGGACCATAATGGATGTAACAATGGAGAAAGTTGATAAGAAAGGGACCATAATGGATGTAATGATGGAGAGAGATGATAAGAAAGGGACCATAATGGATGTAACAATGGAGAGAGTTGATAAGAAAATGACCAAAATGAATGTAACAATGGAGAGAGTTGATAAGAAAATGACCAAAATGAATGTAATAATGAGGAGACTTGATAAGAAAAGGACCACATTGAATGTAACAATCGAGAGAGTTAATAAGAAAATGACCAAAATGAATGTAACAATGAGGATACTTGATAAGAAAAGGACCACAATGAATGTCACAATGGAGAGAGTTGATAAGAAAAGGACCACAATGAATGTAACAATGAGGAGAGTTGATAAGAAAATGACCACAATGAACATAATGATCAAGAGAGTTGGTAGGAAGAGGATCGTAATGAATGGGGCAGCACACAGTTTTTGTCACGTATGTTAGAATTCCAAAAAATGTTTTGTTATGGGGGAAAAACTAATTCCTCCAATAATGATGAAGCTTTGAGCTTGTAAACTAGATGAACTGGGTCCTAAAAGATTAGAACTATCCATTAAGTATTAGAAGCTTTTTTTCGTGATTGTACTCCTGCTTTTTTTTTCAACTTTCTTTATTTGATATTATTTTTTTGTTTGTTTGTTATGTTTAGTTATTAACATAATGCAAGTTTTATTAAAGATTTGGATTGCTTGCAGCTGGAAAACAGGTCCACTACCCTCGAGCAACAATTAGAAGATTTAAAACAAAGGTAAGGGACTGAAAGTAGTCCCATTTTACCACTGTTCTCGATTTTGACTGCTTTGTGTAGAGTGACCTAGACGATACATTTGTTTTCGCTGACACTTATGATTTTTGTTTCTTATTTTTATATATAATATAGTATGTTTTATTACTTACTAAACTACTATACATTTCTGTGCTTTTGCCGTTTGTGTAATCAAATGGTTTAAAAATGTAAAGACTTTTTGACTTAAATTTTTGAAGAAATTAGAAGTTCTCTTAGGAAATAGTTTTCCATTAATTAATGTTTAAAAGACCATGTTTCCATGTCTTTAAGCAGTTAGTTGACTTAATAGTATAGTACGTGATCAGATTTCATTCACCGATCATTGGGTGTTATTAATGGTCATTTTAAGTGTTACAAATGGCATTCGAGAAGTATGCCATGCTTTTGTAAAACTTTAGTAAATTTTACATTTATACTCAAGCTTTCATTATTGAAATTACCACATTTATACACGATATTTTATTTTAATTGTGTATTTTATAAACATATACTATGTATTAATAAAGCCATTTTGTTTTGTTAGTATACGTATGTATTAATATTCCAATAGCTAGTATGATATTTATTTAATTAAAATGAAAAATCAGTATTATTTTAGCCGTGCTAAATTAGAAAAGAAATAACGCTTCTGCCATTGTCACTTGTTATGTTTAAATACTCGAAACAACATACAGTTGTATTAATGTATAGTTTATGATGTGTGTTGTTTTTTTTCTTTTAGTTTTCTCTAAACTTAATTTCTTAACTTGACATCTATGGGGAAAAAAAATAACTAAATTTCTCCTTAACATAACACCTTCAAATTAACAATACATTCATGCATAGTTTTGATAAGTATCTACTTTAATATAACTTGTTTACTTTCCTGTCGTATCTAACACTACTTTAGTATAATGCCTTTAATTTAACACTGCATTCATGCATAGTTTTGCTAAGTATCTAATATATAATGTGTGTGTTTGTACTTTTCTGTAGTGTCTTTAACACTACATGACTATAGTGCCTAGTCAAATATAATGTGTGCTTCTGTTTAATATCTTTAAATTAACATCACTATAGTGCCTTTAAGTTAATATTGGTGTATAAATCTGTAAAGTGCCTAGTGTAGTTGATTAACAAGCTCAGCTTTCCTGTTAATCACAAGTTACAATTGTGAAATGCTACGTACCACATTAACTGCTTTGGCTTTCATGACTTATTAAGTTAAAGTGGATTTCATTGGATTTGTTTTTAATATTTTACATAATAATTTTTTTCTCTCATAATACTCGTTAAAGAAAATAGTGTACTTGCTCTCCCCCTAGTCATTTATGTAGTGACCCTCATATTGTATTATCACATTTTAAGTTTGTTTTCCATGACACAGTTTTGCTGTACTGTATTTTCTAAATCATAGCTTTTGATTTGATGAATTATCATAAAATATAGTGTGTGTTTTTTTTGTATTCTCTGTTCTTTTTTTTAAATCTTGTTGGTCAGGTACTATATTTTATTTGTAATTGTATTTCTGCTGTTTACACTTGATTTTCGTGATTTACTGATAATATAACTGTTATGCTAATTATTTTTTCAAGTTAATGTTATTTTATTTACAAAGGAACAAGGATAAAGCATTTCATTTCGACCGGACAAACATCCGATTTAAACAACATTTTCTTATTCGCTGTAGAAAAGTCCGTTAAAGTTTAATGGATTCTGTATAAGTATACAAATAAAGAAACAGTCCATAAAATGAGAGTTGTGTACGTTATCTGAAAACGAACTTCAGAAGGTCATGATGGACCAAAGTAATTCAAATAGACAGTAAAAGTAAAAACCATAACACTATAAAAT